GAAATGCTTTGCTTTCTGGGCAATGGATATTGAAAGTATCTCTATACGATAAGCATTTGTTGAAGCTTGGCAGCTGAAGTGTTTCTGTGACACATTTAGCAAGCTGGTGATAAAGTCATCCCTAACAACACAGGGGCGGCAGGGAGTGGGGGAGAACGGCAGGGAAGAAATAAGCCTCCCTGAAGTCTGGTCTTTCCTAAATCATCCCCAGAATATTATCAAAGCTTTCTCTATTTGGCACATGTGTAGGTGGTTGACAGCTGCACAATACTGATAACTAGTTACCAGCATGGAGCTATTTCCACTGTATTTATTCAAAGGCCCCTAATGACAAGTTATAATTGGCCTATCTCTAAAAAGCATGTTACATGCATGATCTAAACTTCTAGTAATTTCAGAAACTACATCCAAAAATAGTTATTTTTATTTTTATTTATTTTTTGGCCTTTTCTTCACTTGCTTCTGTTCCTTAATTGAAGAGACCAGCTCTGAATACACTTACTGGCTCTCAAGAAAACCGGAATAAGATTGCACTATAAATATAATTTGGCTAGATCTCTGGGTTTCAAAGCTAGAATGCAGCCTTAAGGAATATTAAAGCTCTCTTGGCTGCTGTGTCATTTTAAGTCCCCATTAACTCACTGCAGAGTCACTTTAGAGCCTAGTTATCTGGCATTATGAAGTCACTGTGGTGAGAATCTTCTTACAGGAATCCAAAGGTATTCCTTGGGAAGGAAATGCATCTTGTAGAGTCAGCAGATTCTATGAAATGTCGACTCATAAGGCTCGTGTCCATCTCGTTAATTATTTACCATTATTGGTTTGTTTAGTCCCTTGGCTTCTGTAAATGTGGTTTTCTGCAGCCCTAGTAATGCAAAAAGGGACAAAGGGACAAAAAGGAGGGATCATAGGAGATATCTTGGGCTTAGGCATTTTGGGTATAGTCAGTCCCTTGAAGCAAACTGGGAACCTATGAGAATGATAAAGAACTGGCCTAGAATGCTCATATCACTCAGTCTCATTTAGTACTATTGCCACCATATTCTGTATTAATTGCAGTTTGTGGACCCATTTTCAAAGGTAGCCCCAAACACAATGCATTGCAGTAATCTGGAGGGAAGACTATCAAGACATGAAACACTGCAGCCAGACTATTGCACTCTAGTTGGGTCATGGCTAGCATTTTGTTGGTGTTAGTACAGGGCAGGTCACAGGGCAGATTACAACATTTAAAATTCAATATTCACAGAACCTGTGAATTATAGAGTTGAAAGGGTCCACAAGGGTCATCTAGTCCAACCCCCTGCAATGGAGGAATCCTTTGCCCAACATGGGGCTCAAACCCATAACCCGGCGATTAAGAGTTTCATGTTCTACTGAATGAGTTATGATAAGAGCGGTTGAAACAAATTATAATCATGGAAATAGGGTGAGACCTGAAAACACATCTCACGTGTCAAGCTCAAATTCCCTAACAAAGCCTTTGCCAGTTACCCTGTCGCTCCCCTTGGCCTGTTAGCACACAACTCACTACCCCTAGAGGACTTCACATGCAGTCTTCAAGTTGATCCTCACGTCCTTAACTCTGGAGTCCTTTGGGCTTCTCTCAGGATTACAACTGTGGTCTTCAATCTACTTCAGCAACAACTGTTGCATCAGGTTTGAAAGGAAAACCTCTTGGATCCTTGCCTAGAAATCAAGGGGATAATGAAAGAAAACATGGAATAAAGAGAAGTCTGGACGAGTCCTTAGCTTCAGCACTTTCTTAAAGTCTACCATAGTGACTTGCTCTCTTCTTAGTAGACCTCCTTGAGCTCTTCACAGGAATGATATCAGCATCTAGGTTGGAGCTTCAGTTTCTTTCAGATGCCAACTTCTGCCATTGGCCCTGGCTCCTGTCATGCTTTCCCAAGACTCTCCTGCATCTCATTTAAGGTCCCTTGCTATTCCACTCCAACCAACTTCAGCTAGCTAGAACTGCTACTTTCTCTGATCATTACTGAACCTTGCCTTTTATTTGTACCAGCCAGGTTACTCTACCCAAATGCCTCCATTGGTGCTAAACTCCACCCTCTTGTTGCATCTTGTCACAAGGAAAATTTAATTTGGTTTGCCATTGCTGTTTACCTGCCTAAGTCCCCTGGTAGTTCAAAATGGTAAAATGGATTGACTTACTGTCTTTGAAGATCCAAGTACCTGTGGTTTATTATTGAGCAGCTGTCCAAACTCTGACTCACTGTTCCCATATTTTATAGACAGTATATAAAGGCTGCCTTAATTAAAAACCAGAGCAACTTCAGGCTCACATTCTTAGCAGAAAACATTAAACAATCAACAGGAGGCTTGCTTTGTTTAAATGGATTGGAGATGGCAGGAGAGAGAAGACTGAAACCCAACTAAACTGTACCTAGCTTCTTGCCTTAATGGTCTTGGGATTTTGCCCCCTTGTCAAAATGTGTTTCTTAATTCTTAAACCAAATGCGGTCATAATTACAGCAAGAAGACTCTTAAGAAAATAAAAGAAATATCTGGAAAAGAAATCCTAATACTGAAATAACAGAAATAATACCGTTGCACCAATAAGAGCCTTGTAGCTCCTTAGCTCCTCCTGCCCACCTAGCAGTTCGAAAGCACGTCAAAGTGCAAGTAGATAAATAGGTACCACTCCGGCGGGAAGGTAAACGGTGTTTCCGTGCGCTGCTCTAGTTCGCTAGAAGCAGCTTAGTCATGCTGGCCACATGACCTGGAAGCTGTACGCTGGCTCCCTTGGCCAATAAAGCGAGATGAGCGCCGCAACCCCAGAGTTGGCCATGACTGGACCTAATGGTCAGGGGTCCCTTTACTTTTACCTAGCTCCTTAAAAGGCCAAGGACAAAATTACAACTTGATTTGGAGAGAGACGCAGCACAGAAACATTTTGTGAGAATTTTTCACCCAATTACATTTTGATGTCATAGAATCATAGAATTGTAGAGCTGCAAGGTACACTGGACCTCAGTGTCCGGGCAGAACGATGGGGGTGGAGACGCTCCATCAGGTATACTGGACCAAGGCCGTTTAGGGCTTTAAAGGTCAGCACCAACACTTTGAATTGTGCTCGGAAACGTACTGGGAGCCAATATAGGTCTTTCAAGATCGGTGTTATGTAGTCTCAGCGGCCGCTCCCAGTCACCAGTCTAGCTGATGCATTCTGGATTATTTGTAGTTTCCGGGTCACCTTCAAAGATAGCCCCACATAGAGCGCATTGCAGTAGTCCAAGCGAGAGATAACTAGAGCATGCACCACTTTAGCAAGACAGTCCGCAGGCAGGTAGGGTCTCAATCTGTGTACCAGATGGAGATGATAAACAGCTGCCCTGGATACAGAATTGACCTGCGCCTCCATGGACAGCTGTGAGTCCAGAATTTTTTGGCAGCTGTGAGTCCAGAATTTTTTGAATTAGGACTATATATAAATATAAAAATCTAGAAACAGAACAGCACCAGCACTTTAATTAAAAGCAGTCAGTTCCCAAAAGCCTGTTGAAATAAGAAGGTCTTCATTTGCCGGAGCAAGGACAACAAGGAGGGAGCCAGTCTAGCCTCTCTAGGAAGGGAGTGCCAAAGTCTTGGAGCAGCCACCAAAAAGGCCCTTGGTGGTGTACACGGGATTATAGCCTTAGAGTTCCACAGAAGGACTAAAAAAATGCTTAACTGCATCTGGACTGAGATGATGTTAGCCTATTTCTTTCACTATTTTCCCCTCTCCAAGTTATTCCATGTATATAAATGTAAAATCATAATAGGAGCAGCATCATTAGCATTTACCGCTAGCATATACCAGAAGAGCATTCTTTGCTTTAATATAAATATACTGATTTGCACAAAATAAAGATATGTTTGTCTTTAGGTGCATATTCTTATGCTCTGAATACATCCTCTTTCATTATCTCTTCCATCTGTCAGCCAGCACATTATTCCCTCCCCTGTATTTTTGAGTACCACATTCAGCCTCACAACACGCCACTGCCTTCTTAAAAATAATAATAGTGCTGGGTTGTTTCCAACTAAGTCATACTCAAAGTAGGCCCACTGAAATCAATCTGCTTAAGATAGTCATTTCCATTTATTTCAGTTGATATACTCTGAGCATGGCTTATGTGCAGGTACCTATTTCCTATCTGCTTGTTTTTCTGTTTTCTTCTTAGTGTCCTGATCTGTTTAAAGTTGCAACACATCCATAACATTCATCATGAAGATTGTTGCCACCTTGTAAAATGACTTCATCATTATTAATGGTCCATAAGTTGTGGATGTGTGTATATTTTACTAAGCTCTTAAATTACCATTTTTTAAAAAGAATCATTTCAACAAAAAGAATAAATATAAAAATCCGCAAACCAGTTTCTAAAGCACTCTCTAGGTGTTAATGTTATTGATGGGGAAAGTGTTGTCAGTAACAGGAAAATATTCAAGAATGGGGCTCTAAGGCTGTAATGAGTATGGGTTGCTCGTGCGTAAGTTGCCGCCTCTCCTGGCTTTGTTGCCTTGTTAAACCTTTCAGTCTGGGCAGCCCTTCACTTCGTGGCTGCCTCAGTCGCTAGCAGAATCCGTCAGTGGGCGTTTCTTAAATCTTTTCCAACATAAAAGTTGTTTGACACCCAGTCTCCTCCTACTCTCTCTGCGCAGAAGTCTTCTGCGCAGGGAGGGCGTGGGTAGCGGAGGACCCGTGCTCTCCCCGCTGGTGTCCGGTGAAGAGTCCTGGAGCCCTCTCGCCGATTCCCCCCATCTGCCCCCCTTTATCCCTAGTGTTGCTCTGATTTGCTTCCCCATCTGCGGAGCTGCCTCTCTCCCTGCTGGGCCCTTCTCCAGCATCATTTGAGAGCCTTCCCTCCGCCTCTAGCTCCGATGTCAGTTCCCTGACAAAGGCCTAATTCACACATTATCTAGGCAGTGTGATAACTATTAAACAAATGATTCCACATGGTTGGGCTCCATAATACATACAGAGGGGAAATCGGGCTGAGGTAGCTCAGTCGGTAGAACACGAGACTCTTAATCTCATGGCTGTGGGTTCCAGCCCCATGTTAGGCAAAAGATTCCTGCATTGCAGGGAGTTCGACTAGATGACTCTTGTGGTCCCTTCCAACTCAACAATTCTATGATTCTGTGGTTATCTCTGTGGCAAGAGCCCCATTGGGGATGTGGTGGTGCTTAGGAGAGAAGGACCTGTGACCAGAAGTGGGCAAAGCTGTCAATTTCATTTTTTCATTTTTCCAATCTTAAATCCAGTCCTCCACATTTTTGCAGCAATTTGCTCATTAAAAAAAAAATCCACATGAAAATTCATCAACATTTTGGTGCAAATTTCTCCTAATGAACACATTTTTGTATACCGTTTTGGCTAATATAGATATTTTTGCAAAGCATATTTCCTCCTAGCATAGCGCACCTCCAATTTTGTATGTTATTTTCATGAATATATGCATTTTTATGCTCCCTTGACCCCAATAACAAAATTTAATGGAATAATTTGTACACAAAGAACAACGGTTCCAGCCATTGACTTTTTTCACTTAGCCAATCACAAGATGTTTACAAAGAATATTTGTAAAATGAAGTCCAAAGAATTCATAGCCCAGTTCCGTGTTCCAATCACCAGTTAAGGGCTGTAGCTTCATGGCAGAGTATCCGTGGCATCTCCAGGTAGAGCTGGGAGAGAATCCTGTTTGGAAAACCTGGAGAGCCACTGACTGTCACAGAGCGAGTTAGCAGTAAATCACTAAAAAGGTAAAGGTACCCCTGACCCTTAGGTCCAGTCGCGGATGACTCTGGGGTTGCGGCACTCATCTCACTTTACTGGCCGAGGGAGCCTGCGTTTGTCCACAGACAGTATTTCTGGGTCATGTGGCCAGCACGACTGCTCTGGCGAACCAGAGCAGCGCACAGAAACGCTGTTTACCTTCCCGCCAGAGCGGTACCTATTTATCTACTTGCACTTTGACGTGCTTTCGAACTGCTAGGTGGGCAGGAGCTGGGACTGGGGATTCAAACCGCTGAGATTCTGATCGGCAAGCCCTAGGCACTGTGGTTTAGACCACAGTGCCACCCACGTCCCTAAAATCACTAAAGTTGGAGTTCACTCTTCATTAGCAAAAGCATGATCTTCGCAGACTTGGATGAGTGTCAGGTGTAATGAGCACAGCAGCTCAATCCTGGTGGTCTTGCACCATGGAATTAGTTGCCGAGACTGAAAGTCCCCGCCTCCCCACCACCATCTGCGTCTCCTCCTCTACAGGATTTCCCCCAATAATCAGAGACTGTGCCTCTGCTCTTTTCATGCCTCTTCTGGTTTTGGGAGACCGGGGGTGGGGTGGGGACTTGTTGCAGCAGGAGGCAGAGACTACTCTGACTCATCTCTGCCTCTTGGCCTCTCCCCCCCCCACTCACCTGTTTCAGCTTCTGCCTCTGATTCTGCACTTCTCTCTGCCACAGACTCTCCCAGCTCACTAAGCCCTGTTCCCTCTTCAGCTTCCGACACCTCTTCCTCCTGGTCTTTCCCCTCTGCTCCTTCTGACCACTCATTGTTGTCTCACCACCTCTTGATGGGTTCTGAGCCTTCTTCCTTTGGTGGTTCCCCAGCTGGTTCCTCCCACCATTCCTCTGCATCCAACCAGTCTATGACACCGACAGTGTGGACATCAGTGCTTCTCAAAATAAGGCAGCTTCCTATGTTCCACTAGTAAGATGTGCTTGTGTCTTCTGTGCATCCCTATCAGGAGTCTAACTGCGATAGTGGGGGGAAGAGTCTGACTTGACAAGCTTGCTGATGATCATGAAAGCAACAGAGAGGCTGGTAGTCAAACGATATATTTCACTGCAAATATTTCTGAGCAAACTGTCTGCAACTATAAACGACAATCAAGTTTCCAGAAATTCTGCATGCTACAATTATCTCTTCTCTCAGACTCCTACTGGGGACAAAAAAGCAGCTTCAGAAGTGCAAGCTATAAATTTCAAATGAAATTAGTACTCAAAGAGACGTGCCAGCTTGTCATTCCTAGCAACAGAAATCCTTTCTGTTTTGTATTCAGGCACCATAGATGAACTGTGTGCCGTTCTTTCAAGTACATCCAGACTCCCTATCCCTCTAGGAATAGGAGATGTCTCAGAAAGTGTGGATTTTGTAGGTTCACCTTTAAATACAAACTCAGTTGACTTTCTTCCCCATCGCTATGACTGATGTCCTGCAAGCCTTCCATGACAATGTGCAAAGGCCCTTAAAACCACATAGATACTGTTTGCAACAGCAGCAGTCTTGGTAGTCTATTGACTCCTTCATCTACCTCCCACTGAATAATATGTTCATGGTGTCTCAGAGCTGCTTAAAAGAACAGATTGAATCCCACTGGTGTCTGTCCACTGATGGAAGGCTTTTGGATCCAGTGGAGGTTTCTGTCAATGGAATGGTGATTTGCCTTTTCTGCTGCAGTTCCCCGTGCTACTTTCCATGCTGCCAAAGGCCCCAGCAACCCTCCAGAACAGTATAGCAGACATAAAGGGTGACTGCAGGGAAATGGCAGATTATCTTGAACTGTGTTCTGCTGGTGGAAGGCTCTGCTGGGTCATAGTCTTCCATCAGTGGTGGGGTACCAACTGACTACAGCTCACATGCACCAAGTCTCTCTAGGCAACACTTTGATAAAACAAGCTTCTGAAAATGAAGTAAAAGGTCCTGGGCCTTGGTGTAAAATCTGAATAATTTGGAAATACAGTTCCCCCATTTTCAGGATTCTGTGACTTCAAATATTAGAGCTGAACATTATGCTGCAGCATGGGGAAGATAGCAAGAAAATTTTGATTTTAGAATAGTTCAATTCTGCTCTCACAGCATTCTTAGAGGGACTTTGGCCAAGGGGAACGTGTTTCTTAAGCAAGGTTGCCAACTGCTAGTAAATTTGCTGACTGCCAGGAAGAAAAATAGTTGCACAAGCTTTTCCTGCCATGGAAACAACAATCCTGCCAGTAATTCTTTTCATTTCATTTCATTTCATGCCCTACCCATTTTTTTGAGAATAGAAACCAAAGTGAAGAAATCAATATAATTTGAACAGCAACTCAGCTGCTCTTCTGTTAGCTATTAATTTATGGTAGGTATCTTTATTTTAAAGAGCAAAGAACATGGGCTTCAGTTAGTGAATATGTGTACCCATTTAGGTCTCTGCCAGTGAGCAATTACTCTAGTTAGAAGGTTTAAAAGCACCACAGGGCAGCGGGCTATGTTGTAAAGCAGGTGTGGAGAACCTGTGGCTCTCTAGATGTGGCTGAAATATATCACTCCTACATCCTTGACCATTGGCCATGCAGGCTGGGGCTGCTGGGTATCAAATCCAATGACATCTAGGAACACCAGATCCCTATCCGTGGTGTTTGTTACCATTTCCAAAGAGTATATAATGATGGCTTAGTCTGAGTCCTGAATCGCAGAAGGTCCCTCTCCTACCCATAGACACACCTGCATCAGACAACCTTGCTAATTACCAGAACTCTAACAATCAATCCCAGTCTAGCTTCTGCCTGCCCCTGCACTAATCTGTCCCTTTCCTTTCCCCTTTACTTTGACAAACCACAATTCCCACCTGTATTCATTGGGGCAGCAGCAGCTCTTTCTTGGAGAGAAGCTGAAGGTTTAAGGCCAAGACAGCTCTTTCATTTATTTCCTCTGTGGTGTGAACATCTTCTTTGCCCTTTGTTCTTTCAACTACTATAGAGGCAGAAGACAGCAAAGGGCAAGATGGCATCTCTCCACCCGCCCTTCTACGATATAAAAGACTGCTTCAAGACTAGCAAAAGGATAGTGTCCTCCCCAACTTCCAAGGGCAGCAAGCTAGTTATGGGGTGCAGGAGAGACCATGTGGAATGTACAGCTATGTCCTTCAACAGAAGGGTGTGACTATGGGGCTTGTGAGGATCAGCCAGGGCAGTTTCCTTCCTCTGCCTAATGGTAGGTCTGTTCCTGGGTGCTCCAGCAATAACGAAAGGAAATGAATAGCCTATTAAATAAGGTATTCCTGTGTAGGGGCAATAGGGGACAACTGAGGCTCTTCACTGAAGCACCAGGAAAGGAAAAGAACAGAATCCCTACATTTGCCCAGGGATGCAATGGCGGGGGAGGTAGTTGCTAGCGTGGCCACTGTCCTACTTTACAGAGAACAGTCTTCTACTGAGATGCTGTCAGAGGATGGTCTTCCAGTTGAAGGGCTCTCTGCTTCACGTTCTGTTTAAAGATAAAACAGCATAAGAAGAGAGAGCAGGGCCCTTGACATTTCCCATCAAGCTGCACAGCAGAGCAATACAACACACAGGTCTCTTGACCACCGTCTTTCCCAGGCTAGTGAGGTGTCTTGTATTTTGAGTTAAATTATACTACTTATTTCTAAATCTGCATCTATGCAGTAATTTAACAAATGCAAGTATCACGCAAATGTGTTGTCTTTAATGGTGATGGTTGTCCTCTTTTTTGACAATGTGGATCCTCATCTCCTTCTTGTCTCTTGTCTCTTATATTAGGATGCTTGCCACGTGCAGAAAAATGCACAGAGATGGTGATGGATTGATTTTAATGGTTTTGTATGTTTACTGTGAAGTGCTTTGTGATATAGAAATGAAAAGTGGTATGTGTTGGTTTTTTAAAAAGAATACAATGAAATAGGACCCATGTCTATGCATTGCTTCACAGTTTAGTGTCCAGAGTCACAGAAATGTACAATTCAGTTTAAATTCCTTGGAGTCTACACTGAGACAGTGTGACAAACACCTTGCAATAAAATTAAATCAGGTAAGAAGACAACACAGCTTAAAGGGAGAATGGGTTCCCCCGCCTACTCTAATCCAGTCAGTTTTATCTAATCACTGGACCATGTATAGGCTAGCTAATTTCTACTTGCATTAACATAGGCCTAAGCCAAGTGCTCATTTTAATTTAAATTACATAGTAAATGGAATGCCATCCCAAGGGTCTTAGTGGAATCTGGAAGGAAGAAACCATGTATGTATCATTTGTATTTCTGTTCCGGCATTAGATGTACAAGGAT